AAATCGGTAGGTGGCATTCAAAGCAGCTTTCGAATTTGCGATGATTATACTGTTCCGTATACGCATACGTTGCAACACGACCTCGAAACTGTTCATAAGGCGATTGCTGCCATGGAAACAACTGTCGATTTTCGTTTTCTTCGATCGACAGGTTTTGAAGTTGTGCAAAAACTGGAGTAGTATTATCTGAGGAAGAATCAGAAACTAAATTTGAATCCATTAATGTGTGAAAAGTGTTTGTTAAAGTATTTACCCAATTGATGTGTTTCGTAGGTCGATGAGGTCATACAAAGTCCGGCTGGAATATCGAAGCGATTCGTTTCGTTGTTGTACCGTATATCATATTGTCGTGTTGGCTTATTGTTCGGAAATACGTGGATGGACAGACATGGCACATCTATTGCTGCAACCGCCAACACCAATGTCGTGTTACGTTCAATCGGTGATTTACGATCGAATGTTTTGTTTGCATCAACGGCAAAAACCAACTTTTGTTTGGAAGTGTAAAGCAAAAGTCGTTCATAAAAATGTTCACCGGTATCCGTTTTTTCTTTTACGACCACGGCGAATCGAAGAGCTTCAAAACGTGTTGTAAATACACACAGGTCGCGATCAGATGTGAAACGAATAAATGCTTCATTTACCGATGAATACATTTCCAAATCATCGTTCGTCTTTCGCCAACACGTATTGTTCAGAATTCGGAACGGTGTGCTCATCGAAATGGTAAATCGTTGCTTCAATGGCTTAACATAGAAATTTTCATATGGATTGAAAACCCAATTTTTCATTCCACAGATCGCACTGTGGTCTTGTGTTTGTCGTATGAAAGCATGGCAATCTGAGCAATGTTGTGGAGCTCTGTCAGTACAATCATTGGAATGGTGGCTTCCAAAACAGATCAAACAGTCTGAATCCATCTGAAAGAGGAAAGAGAGACACCGTTTTGCGATCAAAGATATAATTTTCTATAAATACGTGACTAAATATCGAATATACCTTATTTTTCAATGAGAATTGACTTTGATCCACGAAAATAGTAACAGGATACGTATTCGTACGCGTAATCGAAGATGTTCTATAAAAAAATTACGGTAAAATACACAAGAACAATCGAGACGAATTAAAGATGGCGTTTTGTAGTTCCACCATAAACTGTCGTAAGACATAAATCTGTGGCGCACATTCTAAGTACATCGCCCATTCGCTTCGTTTACGTTCAAATTAAAATGAATATAATAAAAAATTACCTTCAAATTCTCTTGTGATTATAATTTCTCACTTTCTCTGAAATATTTGGTTTTTAATATTGAATTTATTAGGTGACCATTCGGCATCTGGCTTGAAGTATGAAATTGCTACAACACAATGATGAATGCACGAACTGTTTGACATTTCGAATATTGGAATTTGGAACGTTGCGAACTACGAATCATTACGAAAATAACATCAACCGACGCCAACTTCATGTTTATAATTGCCTTTCATTGAATAAAAAAAAAAACAAATTCGTTTGACATTCCAATCAACTAAGAAACTATTTTACATTAATTTTGGAACATTTCACAAAAAAGTAATTAAAAGGTATGGCTCCAATCTTAAGAAGTCAAATTAAAAAAATCAAAATAATTAACGATGAGCCGAATATTCACACACGAAAACGAAAACGAAACAATGAAGCCAATGTTTTGGATGAATCACATTTAAGACAAACCGTAAGATAAACATTTTCTTCAATTTTTTTTTAAACATAGTCTTTCAAAGACACAATTGAAAATATTTTAGGAAAATGCATCCGATGTAAACTTAAAAGAACTTCGTGTAGTTCTTAAGCGACTAACAACCAGCGAATTGAGAAAGCATCGTGTATTGTTCAGTGATTTTACAAAAATATCTCACAATTCCATGCCGAACAATTTGGATAATTTACAAGAAGTCGCAAGTAGTAGTGCTCAATCGAATTTGGCGTATTCTATCGAATCAAATACGACACATACATGCGAGAATGGAAATAATCGAAAACGAAAGCGCAATGAGAGTAAAAAAGAGACGGCGAACAATTACAATTTAAGAAATAGAAGAACATTGATCGATACCGAGAATAAACTGAACTCTGTAGAAAGAGTACAAAGAAAATCAACAAAAATCCAGTTGATAGAGCGAGTAATGAACGAAACTCCGGCAAAAGAATATTTAGTATATGAAGCTTGGACCAACGAGACAAAGAAAGCAGACTTCTGTAAGCGGTACAAGATTTCCAAGAGAAATATGGAATCCATTACAGAATTGCGAAAATTAGTATTGCACCATTTAAAATTATCTGGATACATTCAAGACAACAACGAATTTAATAATGAAAACGCCACAAATTGGGAAGTACTGAAATGCTGCATAGTGGCTGGCATGTACCGTAAGTATAACAAAAACAATAATATAATAATTTACATGTAACTCAATGCACTGAATTCTCGATATTTTTTTAATATATTTTCCGATATTTTCAGCGAACATTTGCCATGCAAATTCCTATTGCGATACATTCGATTCGGAAAAGTCCCCCAACATGAAAATCGATTGGTCTTCAGTGGTCCATGATCGTGATTTGAATTCAATCGGAACAGAATGGTTAACATACGGACAAAAGAAGCGCATTGGCAACAACATTTATGTTGGCAATTTGACCATAGTGCCGATAATTGATTTGATTTTTTTTGCTGGTTCATTAAACGCAACAATTTCTGATGATGGTACTTCATTTGAAATTGATAAATTTATTCAGTGTATTGTAGATAAAAGGGATGGTCCACTTTTGAATAATATTCGTAAGAAGTTGAACGTAATTTTTAATAAATTTCTTAAAAATGAAGTACTATCCATCAATGAAAAGTCCATTTTAGAAACAGTAGTCGATACAGTAAAAAAAGAGGATACCATTGAAAAATACATAGATAGAGAAATTTCAATGCATTGAATTTTTTGGATTTTTTTGTCCCGTTTTTTACGATTCTTTACCGTTCTTTACAATTACCGACAATTCGCGACAATTATTCATGTAAACGCATATACGCGCATATAAAATCTAGAACATACGAGAACATAAATATAAATAAATAAACTGCGATAGACTCATTCCACTCGATATTATTAAAATACATCCGTATACATCGACATACATATTTTTCGACATTTTTTTCTCGTTTTAATTTGTCTTTATTTATTTATTTTTGCTTTTTTTCAGCCGTTTTCAGCTCTTTTATGCGATTTTGATTTTATGACTATGCGTTAGTACAATCGGTTAGTATATGATCTATTTGGATGTGACGGGATGTGATCGATTCTTTCTTACCGTTTCTTACATTTTCTCGTATTTTCTTATGCTCGTTATGCTTT